TGCTTGAACTAAGGAGTTAAGACCAGCCTGGGCAATAGCAAGACCCCATTTCTTAAAAAAAAAAAAAAAAAAGAAATCAATCAATCAACATCTGGGAAATCGCCAAATACTTAAAAGCCAACTATCCCTTCTAAATAACCCACAGATCAAACAAGAAATCAAAGGGATATTAGAAAGTATAGTGAGCTGAATGAATATGAAAATATATCTTATCAAAATTTCTGGGATGCAGCTAAAATCAGTACTTAGAAATGTGTAACACCAAAAGTCTTTATTAGAAAACAAGAAATTCCATCCCAAAATACTTAGCATGAAAAAAAAAGAAAACAAGAAATCTCAGATAATTGATTTAATCTTAAGAAATACAAAAAGATGAGAAAATTAAACCCAAAATAAGCAGAAGGAAATCATAAAGATTAAAACACAAAGCAATGAAATAAAAAACAAAATAATAGAGTCAAAGAAACCAAAAGCAAGATTAAAACCTTATTTGAAGACATATTAATTAAACCCATGTAGTAATAGCATGAGGACAAATAAGCCAATGGAACAGAACAGAGGGCGCACAAATAGACAAACACATATGTCACCACATTTATGTCGAGGGTTCCAATGCAATGGAAAACAACAGCACTGTGTTCAATAAATGACATTGGTTAAATAGAAAATCCATATTTAGCTTTTAAGTATTTGGGAAATCCATATGGAAAAAATGATCCTTAACTGTGTCTCATACCATATACAAAATTAAATCCCAGAAAGACTGTCAGTAAAATAAAGCTTCTAGGAGATAATGAGTGAATAGCTTCATGCAATGATTTCATAAACAGGTCAAAGTACACTAAACATAAAGAAACAAATTATACTTTATTAAAATTAAGAACTTCCTCCTTTTAAAAAACATAATTATGAATTGAAAAGGTAAGCAGTTACTGGCAGTAATTACTGTTCCTTAATAATATATTTAGAATAACTTATTTCTGATATAGAAAGACACAAGTAAAAGTCTGAGAGAGCTACTTTGACTTATGCATCTACAGCTAAACTATGCAACCAAGAAATATTTGCCACAACAAAGCCAAACCTCCTTCCAAAAATTCCCTTAAGTACAATTCTGAGCTAGCAAGAAAACTTTGTAAAGATTCTTTAGGCAGGAGCATAGTGATCAAACCACTGTTGGTTTTTCTTCCCAAACTCCATGAAGCCACTGAAGAATCTGAAATGGCAAAACCTTCTTGAAGATATAATGGACAGGCTAGGTAAGGCAATTTTCTAAATCTCTCCAAATTCTATTACACTTAAACACACCAAGATATAATAAATGACAGGTAGCTGGAACAAGAAACTGGAATAAAGACGTTCTGGCCAGGCATAGTGACTGACACCTGCAATCCCAGCACTTTGAGAGGGTGAGGCAGAAGCATAGCTTGAGCCCAGGAATTTGAGGTTAGTTACCGTGATCTATGATCACATCACTGCAGCCTGGGTAATAGAGTAAGACCTTGTGTCTCTTAAAAAAAATAAAAATAAAAATAAGATGTTCCAGAGGTAGTTTATTTTATTTTATTGAGACAGAGTCTCACTTTGTTGTCCAGGCCAGAGTGAGTGCCGTGGCATCAGCCTAGCTCATAGCAACCTCAAACTCCTAGGCTCAAGGGATCCTACTGCCTCAGCCTCTCAAGTAGCTGGGACAACAGGCATGTGCCACCATGCGCAGCTAATTTTTTCTATATGTATTAGTCGGCCAATTAATTTCTTTCTATTTATAGTTGAGACGGGGTCTCGCTCAGGCTGGTTTGGAACTCCTGACCTCGAGCAATTTGCCTGCCTCGGACTCCCAGAGTGCTAGGATTACAAGGCGTGAGCCACCGCGCCCGGCCCATAGATAGTTTAAAATACAGGACAGAAGTTCCTGTTAGAGGCCAAAGTGGCAGATACAGATACAGTTGTTAAGCGTAAAGGGGTAGGTAAACCAATTCAATCTCAGTTTCACCCAGTGGAAAAAATACATAATAGTTATGTCTGGAGCATAATGAAAGCCCAATAAGAATATCTGAATGAATCAATGAATGAATGAATGAATAAAAGAATGAAGGAGAAAAGATTAAAACAATAGCTGGGAAAGGCCAGCCGTGGTGGCTCACGCCTGTAATCCTAGCACTCTGGGAGGCCCAGGTCAGGAGTTCGAAAACAGCCTGAGCAAGAGAAAGACTCCGTCTCTACTATAAATAGAAAGAAATTAATTGACCAACTAATATACACAGAAAAAATTAGCCAGGCATGGTGATGCATGCCTGCAGTCCCAGCTACTTGGGAGGCTGAGGCAGCAGGATTGCTTGAGCCCAGAGTTTGAGGTTGCGTGAGCTAGGCTGACGCCATGGCACTCACTCTAGCTGGCAACAAAGCAAGACTCTGTCTCAAAAAAAAAAAAAAAGATAAAAAAAAAATAGCTGGGAAAGAAGTAAGGATAATGACTTATAAAAAAGGAGAAAAGTAGACTGAAGAAAAGAACCAGGAAAGCAGAGTCTCATGGTCGTCAAAGAGGAAGCGAGTTAGCAAAAATGGTCAAGAAGGAAAATGCTACAGAGATGAAGAAAAATGAGGACGGTCATAAGTCTAAAACAACAAAAGAACTATTTTAATAACTCTGAAAAACTGGAAGGTAGAGACAGAATACATTGCTCCCAATCAATAGCAAATAGTCCCAATGCTGATGTTCAGGTTACCTTGAGAATTAAAAATTGGGAATCATAACTACCATTTATTAGTTATTTTCCATATACCAGATATTTTGCTGAGAATTTATCTATGGTAACTCATTTAAAGCAATTTGTAAAATTAACTCAAAATATCCCATGTTAAGCTGAAATGAATTATCCTTAGGAAGCACGATTGATAGTATCTGTAACTAAAAAGCTTAAGGTGGCTCACACCTGTAAGCCCAGCTACTCAGGAGTACCAGGCAGGAGGATCACTTGAAGCCAGGAGTTGGAGACCATCCCAGACAACATAGTGGGACCCCATTTCTTAATAAATAAATAATAAAAAGCTTAAGCTCAATAACCCTATTGTACTCTATCTGGTAAAAAAAAAAAAATGCTAATAGTAACAAAAAAGTCTTGAATGATATATAAAATGGACCCTCAAAGTAAGGGGGAAAAGTGTAACATTCTTTAATACTATCTAGGGGATAAGTGAGGCAAAGATAACTAGGTGGGAGATAAATCCCAAGAGTAGAAAGAGATGCAACATGCTATTATAATTTAATGACACTGCCATTAATAAAATCCAACTAATTCTCCTTCCTTGAATTCCATGCCCAAATAAGCTTCTGATGATATTTGCTTCCTATGAAGTTTTATTCAGTGACCATTTATACTATTTGATGGTTATATTTCTCATTATAATCTAGCATTTTGGTTTATCGATTAGTCTCTAGCCAATCAGTTCCCTAAGCCTAATCACCTCTGGATGTACTAACAAATCACATTTTTAATTCTATAAATTCAAAAACTATGCCCTAGACTGTATGTCCAAACAATGACAGTGTAAACTTCTAGGAGTCAGCCTGGGGCAGGTAGCCAGTCTCCTCTCTATCTTGCTGAACATCTATTCAAACCTCTATCTATCCATCTATTTAGAGACAGGGTCTAACACTGTTGTGCATGCTATCTAGAGTGCAGTGGCATCATCATAGCTCATTGCAGCCTCAAACTCCTGGGCCTCCTGCCCTGGCCTCCAAAAGTGCTAGGATTACAGGCATGAGCCACTACAACTGGCTCAACCAACCAACTATCTATCTATCTATCTATCTATCTATCTATCTATCTATCTATCTATCTATCTATCTATCTATCTATCTATCTATCTTTGAGACAGAGTCTTACTCTGTTGCCCGGACTAGAGTGCCATGGCATCAGCTTAGCTCATAGCAACCTCAAACTCCTGGGTTCAAGTAATCCTGCTGCCTCAGCCTCCTGAGTAGCTGGGACTACAGGCATGTGCCACCATGCCTGGCTAATTTTTTCTATATATTTTAGTTGGCCAATTAATTTCTTTCTCTTTATAGTAGAGATGGGGTCTCGCTCTTGCTCAGGCTGGTTTCAAACTCCTGACCTTGAGTGATCCACCTGCCTCGGCCTCCCAGAGTGCTAGGATTACAGGCGTGAGCCACCGCACCTGACTGCAAACGACAATATTTTAAATAAATATTTAGTTGAGTCTGTAAGTCATCTTCTGGCCCCATAGACAAGGATCTAGCTTAATATTGTCAAACAGCACTAAGTGAATCCCTACAATGCTAAAGTAGTCTCCTGAAAGAAACATTTTAGCACAGTACAAATATTAAGGACAGATCCATCTTGCAAATGTTAGAGGTGAAGTTAAAAGCACTATTTCTAGCTACTGTTGGGTAGGGCCAAAGAAGCTATGGAAAAACAAGACAATGGGACTCCAAGTGATCACCGGCAAGTTCCTCAACCTATCTGGGCCTTGCTATCCTCTTTTGTGAAAGGAGGAAATTGCATCAGATATCTCTAAGGTCCTTTTCAATTCTAAATTCTATTAGAATTGGTGCCTTCAGTGATGAATGGGAAAGGTACAGAAACAAATTTATCAAGAAAACTTAAGAGTAGCTTTGCTCAAATAATAATGTACTATACATTCTTTTCCAAGTAGAATCTACTTAACCTCTATAGTTTTGAAGTGCTGTCTATTTTACCTCCATTTTGTTTTTGTTTCTTTTTTAGAGAGATGAGGTCTTGCTATGTTGCCCAGGTTGGTCTCAAACTCCTGGCCTCAAGTGATCCTCTTGCCTTGGCCTCCCACAGTGCTGGGATTATAGGAGTGAGCCATGGCACATGGCCAAATCTCTAATTTTTTTTAACCTCTATTTTACAGTGAAACTAGATCCAATAAAATAAAAGCATTCACATATATGGGGGGGGGGATCAATCTGCTACAGTGGTAATTCAAAAATAAAATCAGACAGAAAGACTTACGTGTGTCTTTCATATCTGAGGGTTTCTCGGATGGACCATGCAACCTGGTATGGTGAGGCCTGCTCTGAATCCTCCAGTTCCTCTCCACTTTCTTCAGACCAGTCCAACCCTGGGACAGACAGGGGATATTGTGAGTTAGAAAAAAATTTACCTTTATTCAAAATTTAGATTAAAAAGCTACCCAAAATACATCACCCAACACCTATATCAAGTACTACCACAGTGTGAATAAATGCTTCCTGATGAACCTCATTTCTATTCTTATAAAGATTAATAATGAATGTATGATATACACTCAGGTTTTAAAAAATGACATTTTAACAAAAAGGCTAAGCTATATTCCAAGTATGAACTTCTTTTGTCAGATACTTATGGGGCAGAAACAGTGCAAGCAAAGGAGAGAGTTCGGGTCACAAAAAAGGGTAGAATTTCTTAAGTATCAAAATTTCATACACAAAAATGATGTTGGAAAAGCATAAAACATATTCAAAAGGATAAGAAAAGCAGCCGAACATACGTGCATGCAAGAAAGAGGTCAAAATGTGCCGATGAAGTCACTCTATACTTCAACAAAGAAGGACCCTAAGAATAAATTATCAAAGACAGACAGACATACTCCATTCCTCTCTCCCACCATCTCTGGAGGAAAGGGCTATATCGATTAGGCAGTCCATTCCCTAGCTCTTGCCCTCTACGGGAAGCTGGGAGAGCTGGATGGCAATGTTCTATTACTAATGAGGTTTGAGATTTCTTTCAATTCTTTTAAACAAAAGCTGCCACATTTTGTGCTCCATTTTGTAAAACAAGTTTAGAGGGAAAGGGGGAGAAATACAGTATGAATAATGCTTATTTTGTTAAATGCTATAATTTTTTTTCATTAATTATTTATTTGTTATTTTGGAAATAGGGTCTCACTATTTTGTCCAGGCTGGGCCAAACTCATGATCCTCCCACCTCAGTCTCCCATGTAGCTGGGATCACTGTGCCTGGCAAATGCTATAATTTTTAATGATTGGATAATTTTTAGCTCCCAACATATACCTTTTTAAAAGCTTTATATCTTGAAGAGGTCTTGATAAACACTTAAGTTGTACAGCCTAAAGTGTAACAATATGTAAGAGTATACAACTTTAATATATTCATACCACTATGAAACTTTCATTAGACATCTTGATAACCAGTATTTTATTTATGACTTCTTTCTTGAGAACCTCGAAAATCAAGACTATCCTCATTAGACAGACTTATATTAAAAATGACCTCACAGATTGCTTCCTTAGTTTAAATGAGTTTACATGTGCCAAATAGGGAAATTAAGAAAAGGTTAATTCAAATGCAAATTATAAATGCTTAAAATTAAATAACACATTGCCACTGGCATGAAGAAACTTCAAATCTAGTTCCAAGATGACTGTCTAAAATGGCAGGTCACTTTAAAAAGGAAGTTATTTTCTCTTGACTAAAATAATTAATAATTTATAGGGGGAAAAAGGTAAAAAACAATTAAGTGATCTCAACAGCATCAACTTCAGTGTGTTGAAAGGTGAGGTTTATCAAAGTGATATTTAAGGCACATTTAAAAAAAAAAGAACATGAGTTATCTTTTAATTGTTTCAGAAGTAATAATTTCTACTAAGACATCTATACTTTCTTGAAGAAGTCAAGATGTAAGTCATAAGAACTAAGATGAAATGTTTCTTCTGCTGTGAAATTTACTGTCCAATAAAGCAAACCTTTGATCGTGGCTTCATTATCACTAGTTTTAGTGTAACTAACTGATATAACCAGCCAGGCAGAGCTGTAAAAGCTAATTACAAGACTGAATTTTTCTTTAAGTACTCTTTACTAACAAGGAAACAGACTATGATTGGTCATAAGAGTACATTACAATTTCTAGTTTCTCCAAAATAATCTTTGTTTTGAAATCTTACATCTCTAACATGTTTGAATTTTACAAAATTAAAAGGCTGAATACTTTTTATGCAAGTTTTTATTCTGTAGAAAAGTCAGCCCCCAACACAACATAAAATTTCATTGTTTTTAAAAGATAAAAAATTGGTCCAGGCATGGTGGCTCACACCTGTAATCCTAGCACTCTGGGAGGCCAAGGCGGGCAGATTGCTCGAGGTCAGGAGTTCGAAACCAGCCTGAGCGAGACCCCGTCTCTACTAAAAATAGAAAGAAATTAATTGACCAACTAAAAATATATACAGAAAAAATTAACCAGGCATGGTGGTATATGCCTGTAGTCCCAGCTACTGGGGAGGCTGATGCAGTAGAATCTCTTGAGCCCAGGAATTTGAGGTTGCTGTGAGCTAGGCTGATGCCATGGCACTCACTCTAGCCTGGGCAAGAAAGTGAGACTCTGTCTCAAAAAAAAAAAAAAAAAAAAAGATAAAAAATTATCAGCATTCAGAAATAAATAAAATTTAATAGATGATACCGATAAGTGTTGGAATATTTGGAAAAACAAATTGTTGGATTTCTGTCTCAAAACTAATACCTTACAGATAACTAAAATGTAAATAATGAGATAATTTAAAAAACTAAAAGAAAACATAGATGAATATAGTTATATACTCTTGCAATGAAGCGAGCCTAAACAAGGAAACAAACAAACAAAAGCCATGACTCAAAGAAAAAAATCCTACAGAAAGAAAATATATAAAAATTTTTAACTCCTAAATTCCAAAATCATTATAATAGATATCTGAAAGCAAATAATATAAAGGAGCCTTGAGGGGGAAAGGCTTTGCAACCAATATGAAACATGTATTATTGATCTTACCAATCAATAAAAAAGAAAAACTCTTCAATAGAAAAGGACAAAAGAAGTAAAAAGGCAAAATAAATAAATATCAATGTTCAAAACGCATATGAACAAAATACTCAACTACATTATTAATCCAAGATAGCAGTTCTCAGAGTATGGACCACAGATCCCTGGAGGTCCCTGAAATCCTGGGGGGGGGGTCTGTAGGTCAACACTATTTTCAGAATAATAATAAGACATCATTTGCCTTTTTCACTGTGTTAGCTCTTACATCGAGGGTATAAAAGCAAGAGTGGATAAAATTCTGCCTTCCTAGCAGGAATCAAGGCAACAGCAACCAAACTCTATTAGCAATCATTGTATTCTTCATAGCATGCCTCACAACTTAAAAAAAAAATGTTTTAAGAATGTTCTTGTTTATTAAAAATTGTTTATTAAATCTCAGCCCTTGAGTGTATCTTTACAATTACTTTATGTGATTAAATGTGAAGTATACAGAAAGCACCTCTGCTGTATGTGAAGAAAAGTATTAATAGATGATTGTCTCAAGGAAGAGCACTTGTACAGTTGTTTAGCTGCAACCATAATAAGCTGCTTTTTTTTTTCATTTGACATCATTTTTATTTGAAAGAATGTCTGACAAACTATGGTTTTTAAGACTTGGATATTTGGCAGTCATTTTCCCAAAAATGAACACCAAGAGACTGTCACGTCAAGGAAAACAACTGACAGTATTTACCGATGTCAATGATAAAATCTGAGTTTTCACTTGAAAGCTCAATATTTGGAAAACTCTAGTTTACCACTGAGAGCTTGGCAACTTCCCAATAGTTAGACTTTTCTGATGAGATTGATGGTTTATTAGCAAATGTGATTTTTAAATTTCATACTATAATGAAATGTATCAACATTTGGAATATCTGTATAACTAAGTAAACCAGGGTTTTCCAAATGACCAACACATGATATTACAAAATCATGCATGGATAAAAGATCCGTTCAAAGAACAAAAGACCCAATGGGTTGTAATACAACAGTATGAAAAGTTCCTTGATATGGTTACAGATTCCACACTGCAACTAATCTTTAACTTGTCAAGTTTCAGTGTAGAATCAAGAAAGAATATACATAATCATTTGAAAAAGGAGATTAAAATACTCCCTTTTCCAACAACCTATATGTGAGGCTGTACTTTTATCTCCTAACCAAAAACCACATATCAAAAAAGACTGTGAAGCAAATATAAGAATCCAGCTATCTTCTAGTGAACCAGACATTAAGATTCACAAAACAATGTAAAATAATGCCACTCTTCTCATTATATTCATTTTGGAAAATATAACTATTTTTCATAAAAAGAACATGTTGACATGTAGTGTGTTTGTTATTATTTTTGAAAGAATCAACAGTTAATATTGACCAGGTGTGGTGGCTCACACCTGTGATCCTAGCACTCTGGGAGGCTGAGGAGAGAGGATTCCTTGAGCTCAGGAGTTCAAGATCAGCCTGAGCAAGAGCAAGACCAGGTCTCTACTTCCAAAAAAAAAGGAAAAATTAGCCAGGCACAGTGGTCGCTTGAGCCCAGGAGTTTGAGGTTGCAGTGAGTTATGATGATGCCACTGCACTCCAGCCAGGGCCACAGAGCAAGACTCTGTCTCAAAATAAATAAATAGGTGGCTCACGCCTGTAATCCTAGCACTCTGGGAGGCCGAGATTGTTTGAGCTCAGGAGTTCGAGAACAGTCTGAGCAAGAGTGAGACCCCATCTCTACTAAAAAAAAAATAGAAAGAAATTAGCTGGACAACTAAAAATATGTAGAAAAAAATTAGCCGGGCATGGTGGCGCATGCCTGTAGTCCCAGCTACTCGGGAGGCTGAGGCAGAAGGATTACTTGAGCCCAGGAGTCTGAGGTTGCTGTGAGCTATGACGATGCCACTGCACTCTACTAGGGGCAACTAAGCAAGACTCTGTCTCCAAAACAAACAAACAAAAAAATCAAAATAAATAAAGTCTTTAAAAAATTTATTAAAAAATAATTAATAGTTAAATATCTCAGTGTTTTCTTGAGCCCATGCTGCAGAAAATATCTCAGTTTTAACTTCAAATACAGTAAATATCAATAGATATAACCCATATACAAAAGCTCTATCACCATAGAACTTAATTACATTTAAGCATAAAGGATCCTAAAACCAAAAAATTTAGAAACACTGATGTAAGATATGCAAATTAAAGCAAAGTTTCTATACAATTTGCAAAGACAAAAATAATAATAATAATACCCAGGGCTGACAAAGATTTAGAGAAACCATCATTCTCACACACTGTTGAAAGAAGGTAAGCCAACAAAATAATTCTCAAGAAAAATTTAGCAACATATATCAAAAACTTTCTTAAAAAATGCAAAAGCTTACAATCAGCAATTCCACTTCTAGCAATCTATTCATATTTGAAGGGAAAATCAAAGATGTGGCAGCAATTATTTTGCTACAAAGCTCTATATCTCTAACAGTCTGTAATGATACTGACTGAAAAGGCTTAACTTGGAGATAGAATTCAGCCATGACAAATTATGTTGTACATGAAAAATTAATGACTTGGAAATACATTATAATGAAAAATTTTAAAATAGGTTACAAAACACTATGTATAGTAAGAAGCCACTTTTATACGTCTGAAAGGATAAACCATGATATTAACAAGTGGGTATTAATAGGGTTTGGAGTGTTTTATTATTTTTGCTTACCTATTTTAAAGTTTTATTAGTTTTTTTAATTGCCAAAAGTCATACATGGTTTATAAACAGGTAAAACAATAAAATGCTGGCCGGGCGCGGTGGCTCACGCCTGTAATCCTAGCACTCTGGGAGGCCGATGCGGGCGGATTGCTCAAGGTCAGGAGTTCAAAACCAGCCTGAGCGAGACCCCGTCTCTACCATAAAAATAGAAAGAAATTAATTTGGCCACTATATTATATGAATAAAAATCAGCCGGGCATGGTGGCTCGTGCCTGTAGTCCCAGCTACTCGGGAGGCTGAGGCAGGAGGATCGCTTGAGCCCAGGAGTTTGAGGTTGCTGTGAGCTAGGCTGATGCCACGGCACTCACTCTAGCCTAGGCAAGAAAGCGAGACTCTGTCTCAAAAAAAAAAAAAACAATAAAATGCTATGTAAGAAAAGCTACTACTCTCATCTCCCAAAAAATAATTCCTCTCAAATTCCATTCTCCCTATACTAGCCAATGTTAACAGCCTGGTAGTATACATACTTTTTTCAAAAGAAATAGGCACACATCTATTCATACCTAATCAATAGATATATTGATGTCCCTTGTTTACTTTGCTCATTTGTTTATTTTTACAAAAATGGGATAATACAAATGCCTCTTTTTTCCTACTTCTTAACATACAATAGGCACAATCTCAGACAAAAGATACAGATTTCATTCATCCTTTTTAACAGCTGCATAATATTTCATAAACCATATATGAACCATAATTTATTCACATTTTCCTAGCACTTGTTTAGGTTATTAACAGATTTTTAAAGCTGCAATCAATGCTACAATAAACATCCTTGCACATATATCCTTACATTTTGATATATTTTTTTCCCCATAGGATAGAATCCCACAAATGAGCTTAAATAGTAGACAGTGCTAAATTACTCACCAGCAATATCTGTGATACCATATCTTCACCGATACTGGAAGTAAATTTTGCCAATCTGGTAATTCATTATTGTTTTAATTTGTATTTCCTGCCTGCTATAGGGATTGAGGTTTTCACCTGTTTATTGACCATTTATAATTTGCTCATTTTTCTATTGTTGTCATGTCATTAAAATAATTTTTCCTGAGGTAAGAATTATAGCTCACACCACATTCAAGAATGAATTCCAATTGAATTCAAGGTTTAAATGAACAAAACCAAAACAAAGCAATCAAACTATTAATAGGAAATATAGAATATATGCATAAACTTGTATTGGGGAAGATTTTCTCAGGCAAAACAGATAATTCAGAAGCAACAAAGGAAAAACAGATATTTAACTACATTAAATTAAAAGTTTTGTGTGTATTTTCTCATTTTAAATCATAAACAGGAATACCTTGGGAACTTTTAAACAGTCAAAGTTTTTACAGTCAGTAGATATTAAGAACGCTGTGATTATTTCTACAATAAAACATGTCCAGAACTTCAATTAGATGTACAGGCACTAAGTCCAGAAAGGCACACAACCAAACACAACTGCCTTTTAATACTGCTATTACTACAATAAAAGCTATGATTGGAATTCTAAATTCCCAACTCCCAATTTCTGTGTCCGATTCCGCAAGTATTATAATCTCCAGTAGCATATAGTTGGCCCTCTGTATCCATGGCTTCTGCATCCATGGATTCAACCAACCGGAGATCAAAATATTCAACGAAAAAAAAATTGCATCTGTACTAAACATGTACAGACTTTTTCTCATCGTTATTCCTTAAATAATACCGTATTACAATTATTTACACAGTATTTACATTATATTAAGCATTATAAGTAATCTAGAGATGCTTAAAAGCAGCAGTCCCCAAACCCCCAGCAATGGACCAGTGCTGGTCTGTGGCCTGTTGGGAACCAGGCCGCACATCGCCACCTGTGCCCCCTCCCCTGTCCCCCACACCCCCACCTCCCCTAAGCCCCATCCACGGAAAAATTGTCTTCCATGAAACCTGTCCCTGGTGCCAAAAAGGTTGGGGACTACTGCTCTAAAGTATACAGGAGAATATTTATATATAGGGTATATGCAAATACTGCACCATTTTATAGCAGGGTCTTGAACATCTTCCAATTTTGGTATCTGCGGAAAATCCTGGAACCAATCACCACAGATACCAAAGGATGACTGTATTTATTTTAAGGCAGTCTACCTAAATACAGAATCTTCTATTGTTCCACTCTGCCCTACATGATGGTTGTTAAGGAAAGTGAGGCCCCACACAACAGAACACATTTTATTTTATTATACATGTATGATATATGATAAACTAGATAACTCACCTAAATGGGGAAACAGATCAGTGTCCAGCTGATGTTTTTGGGTGCACAGTTTCACCAGTCTCTGCAGTCGACTTATACAAGAGAAGTGTGGAGAGAAGGCTGTGGCTTTCATAAGGACCCGGTCAGTCCTGGGTGGGTCCGCGACAGGAGCCCTACTGGATGGCAGGAGGGGCAGCGGCCTCTTGTGAGACAGCTGCCTTGCTTGTGCTATAGTGTGTGTGGTGGGTGCCACTCCCTGCATTGGTAGGCTGGTGTTCTGAGGTTGAGGTGACTTGCAGACTGAACCCTGCGGTGGCGCTGGAGGTTTTAAAGAAGTGGATAAAGGTGACAGGTGGGAGTGCTGCTGCGGAGGCTGCGGCTGTGAAGGTGCAGGAGGGGGACTAAAGTGCTCTTGTCGAACTTTTAAAATCTCTGTCTCTCTCTGGCGCTGCCGATTCTGGGCCAATTTGCTCTGCAACTTCTTTCTCACAGTTGCCCCTTTCTTTAGGTCATCGTCTTCCTCGTTGAAAGCAAACGGGTCTTCCAATTCAGTTTCCAGGTAGTGGAGAGGGACCCTTGCCCCAGGTGGAGAGAGGGACATTCCATCCAGTCCGTTGGGCATCTTCAAGGCCACCGTGGGCACCGCCAGGCTAAAGGCCATGGTATCCATCTGGTGCCTGACCTTCACCTCATCTATAGGATCATTCTTTTTCTTCCTCTCTTTTTTCGGGATAAAGCCAAGTACCTGCAAGTGGCTGTTGCAGTACCTTTAAAAATACACACACGTGGGAAGATATTTATGATACACATTAAGAAAAGCAGAATATACCACTATTATAAAACGTGAATCCTAATATATTAAAAATTGCATGACTATTGGCATTCACCAATTTAATATGCAACTTCTACTACTTTCACGAAATCCTCAAAGTCTGTGCAATTATGCTGAGACAGGCATGTGGACTGTACATGTGCGAAGGTGGCCAGTGACCACTCAACTCTTGCTCCTCACATGGCTTCGTTATTCTCTATTCATAGCACACAGAGTAACTCATCAAGAGTCTGAAGGATCACTTAAAATTCTCTTACAGAGGAAAAAACCATATGTTCCAATGCCATTCAAGTATTTGGAGATTCACAAAGATCTTATGACATAAGCCTCAAGGATGTCAAGTATCTACAGTATGCTTCACACACACACATACATACACTCGGGGGGGAGGGGGAGAGAGAGAATATAGCATGGAAAGAGAAAGTAAAAGAATAAACTGTCGTTCAGTGGGATTATAGGTGAAATGACTTTCTCAATAGCCAGATATAAGAACGTTTGAATTATCTCTTCTAGTACCTATCTGCCACAGGTACTAAAATAATGCCCTTTATACAGATGAGGAAATGAAGCTTCACAGAAATTAATTAACTTGCCCAAACTACTTCCCATATGGAAAGTGACAGAGCTAAGACCTCAACTAAAATCAAAGCTCATGAAGATTCTCATCAATCTTCAATAATGAGTAGGTAACTTTTGTAATGTAAATGCTATTTTAAAAAACCTACAAAAGGATAGGCTAGGTGTGGTGGCTCATGCCTGTAATCCTAGCACTCTGGAAGGCCGAGACGGGTGGATTGTTTGAGCTCAGGAGTTTGAGACCAGCCTGAGCAAGAGCGAGACCCCATCTCTACTAAAAAAAATATAGAAATTAGCTGGACAACTAAAAATATATAGAAAAAATTAGCCGGGCATGGTGGCACATGCCTATAGTCCCAGTTACTCGGGAGGCTGAGGCAGGAGGATTGCTTGAGCCCAGGAGTTTGAGGGTGCTGTGAGCCGGGCTGATGCCATGGCACTCTAGCCTAGGCAACAGAGTGAGATTCTGCCTCCAGAAAAAAAAAAATAAAAAACCTACAAAAGGATAAATTCCCTTTACATAACGAGAAAGCACAATACATGTTATGCCCATTAACCACACTGAAAACCTGTGGAGGCTTTTAACCAGTAGAGAAATAGTATTTTCCAAACTGGTATTCCTCACACAATTCCACAGTATATTAAAAGTATGCCTCCACACGAGTAGAGTTTATATGAGAAAATTAAAATATTAAAAATAAGATAAAAAATTAAAAAAAAAAAAAAAAAGTATGCCATGTTGGGCCGGGTGCGGTGGCTCATGCCTATAATCCTAGCAGTCTAGGAGGCTGAGGTGGGTGGATCCTTTGAGTTCAGGAGCCCAGGTGTTTGAGACCAGCCTGAGCAAGAGCGACATCTCATCTCAAAAATAAATAAAGTATTCCACACTTAAATACATTTGGAAAATTCTGGCTTAAAATTAAACAATGATCCTATTGTAACTGCTGTAAGACTTCTCAAAACATTTTGTATAGTAACATGCATTATGAAGTTTAAAGAAGGAAGTGTACCCATTTAAAAGTGTTGCCCAAAGTTATTTGAAAATGGAACCTATATTTAGTGTGGCATACAGGTAATATCTCCACAGAACTCAGTTTGGGAAAAGAAGTAATAAAGTAAAAAGTGTCAATTCATATTAATAGCTGGGCACAGTGGCTCACACCAATAATCCCAGCACCTTGGGAGGTCAAGGTGGGAGGATAGCTTGAGGCCAGAAGTTTGGGACCAGGAGTTCAAGACCAGCCGGGCAACATAGCAAGACCTCAGCTCCACAAATAATTTAAAAAAAAATTAGCTGGGGGTGGCAGTGTGTGCCTGTGGTCTCTACTCTAGAAGCTGAGGTGGGAGGATTACTTGAGCCCAGGAGTTTGAGGTTATAGCAAGCTCTGATGGTACCACTGCACTCCAGCCTGGGCAACAGAGCAAGACCCTGTTTCTTAAAAAACAAAATACTAAGAATATAATGTACACACACACACACACAGAGTAAGAGGGAGACAGACAGTGAGTTTTATTGGTTTGTCTTAGACATAAACGTCAGAGGCATTCTTTTATTTTAAATAGGCCTATTAGAAAAAAGCTTTCTGGCCAATAAAGAGACTCTATACCACGTATGTGTATGTGCATAAGTGCATGTGTGTGTGTGTGGGGGGGGCACACATTCCTAGTAGGTTTGAGCTAGGTCCCTGAGTTTAAGGGACCTAAATCAGAATCAATTAATAAAGCCCATACATGGCCAGCAAGGAAAGGTATAACTGCTCTAACCAAGAAGTTTTGCCAAAACAGGAAAAAAAAATTAATAAAGAGTAAATTATTTTTGTTTTCAACTCATTTTTCAAATTAACAAAAAGGATTAGGTTTTTTTTTAGTATGGAGATGGGGGAGATACGGTTTCTAAAATTTTGAAACCAAACTTCTCTGTCACATACATGTGGGCAGCCCCGGCTGGTGACCAAGGCCACCATGTGCTCTATTAGGAAGTACAGCAAAGGCTGATAGGCCCACGTGGCCCTCCTTCAAGCCTACCTTACACTAGCCACGCTGTCAGCACTATCACAGATAGTCAGAACTCTTAAAAACCCTGTTTCTTCTAAAGGGGAGAATTATTTGTAACTAAAACTGCTTACCTAATTATGAATAGCATTTAAAATGAGCAGGCAAATACTAATTTCTAGTCTAAAAGAACAGCTATACAAGGGAGTGACTGCTAATGGGTAGAGGGTTTCTTCTGCAAGGATGAAAATGTTCTAAAATTAGACTGTGGCAATGGTTGCACAACCCTGTGCAATAGTAAAAAATACTGAATAGTACACTTTAAATGGATGAATTGTATGGTATGTGAATCATATCTTAAGCTGTTCAAAAAAGAATAAATGTTCAGTAAACAAGAAAATTTCTTTGCAAATATATACTACTAAAAATAGGTATAAAATTATAGCAAATGCATTTAAAATATTATATGAAATAACCAATTTAATATAACTACTTGTCTCTAAGAAACCAAGGCTATCATGAGCCTTAGCTTCCCACTGCACAAGTATATAAAAAACGGACTTTACCAGTACTTCCCTGAGCATAACACTACTCTATTTCAGAAAGGTAGAACCTATAATTTAGCATTTACAATACATGCCAAATTAAGTTAGAAACCAGAAATTAAGAAGATTCCTCTAGCTGACCACCAACCAGATAACTTTATCAATTAAAAGTCCTTGGGTCGGGCGTGGTGGCGCCTGTAATCCTAGCACTGTGGAAGGACGAGGCGGGAGGATTGCTTGAGGTCAGAAGTTCGAGACCAGCCTGAGCACGAGCGAGACCCCTGTCTCTACTAAAAAAAATATAGAAATTATCTGGACAACTAAAAATAAATATATAGAAAAAATTAGCCAGGCATGGTGGCACATGTCTGTAGTCCCAGCTACTCAGGAGGCTGAGGCAGAAAGATCACTTGATCCCAGGAGTTTGAGGTTGCTGTGAGCTGGGCTGATGCCACGGCACTCTTGCCGAGGCAAGAGAGCAAGACTCAGTTTCAAAAAAAAAAAAAAGTCCTTGGGAATTTGTTTTCTAAAACAACACATAAAACCGTCTCAACTCCCTAAGTGCTCAAAGAGTTACTACATTAACAACAATGTGGCCAGGCACAGTGGCTCACTCCTATAATCCTAGCACTCTGAGAGGCCAAGGCCAGAGCAGGACTGCTGAAGGTCAGGAGTTTCCAGACAGGCCTGAACACGAGCGAGATCCCATCTCTACAAAAAATAGAAAAGTTAGCCGTACATGGTGGAACCCACGTAAACTCCCAGCTATTTAGGAGGCTGAGGCAGAAGGATCACTTGAGCCCTGGAGTTTGAGGTTGCTGTGAGCTATGACACCACTGTACTCTAGTCCAAGTGACAGAGCGAGACATTGTCTCAAAAAAAATAAAATAAAAAACACCCAATAATGAAAGCTCATTTGCAAAAGAATATTAATCTTTACTACCTTATGTCATACAGTGCAGTTATAACTATTAATATTTATACACAGGTTTACATACATTATTACATTAATGCAATCTAGATTTCTAACACAAGACTATTATCTCCTGATATACACTTTAACCTATTTTCAAACTCTATAAAAGAACAAAAATATTGATAACATTTATATTCATATGGTCATGGACAAATTTGGAAAAAATACATAACTTAGTACTTAATAAGCACAGCTTCTCTTGACATAGAAACAAAAGTCCTTCCCTTCCCCTCTAGTCCTAAAAAGGGGAAATCACTTCAAAAACAAAGGTGGAGATGCTTCAGACAATTAATGTTCCGGGGAAATTTGGAAGGACTCACACTTCATATTAAGATAATACTTGCTTCAGCTCAACTGAAAAACAGCTACAAGGTTGCCAATTGCAACTGTGATAAACTGTATTTAAGATAAAATTATAGAGATATGTTTACAAAGCAGCTTGAAGTAAAAAAAAAAAAAATGAATCCAACCTTATCTATCTTCAGGTTAAAAAAGGGCAGGGATAAGAAATTATCATTTGCAGTCTACTAAAATCAACTAGACCATAGATCCCTTTCTTACCTGAGATTAAAATTTTATTCCTTGTCTCATTAAACAGCTGTTTCTAACTTTCAGGTATTGTAATTTGGAAGCCTCAAGTGCTCATTAGAAATTCTAAGAGTGTGTTCCCAAATCACATTATACTATTCATACTCATTTTGTTGGGCTCTCTACCAACACAAATTATTTATTTCATATTAAAAGTGTAAAAAGTGGCCAGCCGCGGTGGCTCACGCCTGTAATCCTAGCACTCTGGGAGGCCGAGGTGGGAGGATTGCTTGAGCTCAGGAGTTTGGGACCATCTTGAGCAAGAGTGAGACCTCATCTCTACTAAAAATAGAAAAATTAGCTGGGCATCATGGCATGAGCCTGTAGTTCCAGCTACTCAGGAGGCTGAGGCAGGAGGACCGCTTGATCCCAGGAGTTTGAGGTTGCTGTGAGCTAGGATGATGCCACTGCAGTCTCCTAGGAGCAACAGAGCAAGACTCTGTCTCAAAAAAAAAAGAGTAAAGTGTTCAACTGATATAAAATACATGATTCCTTTTCAACCAATTTATGCAGGTGACATTTGCTTAGTACAGGAACATGGATGAAGGTTGTGCGCGTGTGTGTGTGTGTTAAGATAGAAGCAAAAGGTTAAAATTTTCTATCTAAAGATAACAAGTATGTGAAACTTGAAAAACAAGCAGGCATCTCTCTCTAAAGTCATACAATGATCAATATGGTCTCTGGAGAATTAAAATAAACAAGACATGAATAAGAAATTATATGTGAAAGATAGTGTGAATCTTCCTAAGAATATGAAAGATGAATAACCAGTATAAGACTCCTTCTTTAAAGACAGCACCAGGTTTCATTTCATTTTTCTTAAATCAGCAAGGCATAAACTCATCATTCTAATGATAAGGCCTACCCTGAATGTGAAAATAGTTTTCTAAATTATGGTAAACATCCTCTATTTGGAAAACTTTTTAGCAAAAAAGGAAAGATTATAAAACAACATCAAACACTTCTTAGCAGTCTGGTAGGAAGTAAATCTGAATAATTCAAGTAATACTTCTAATTATTTTTCAATTAGTATATATTCTTTCCTACCTTCTACACATAGATTAAAAACCCCCAATATTATCATTTATTACAAGACCTAATTAGTTCTTATCATTTATCTCATTTAGGCAAATGATAAAACTAAGCAGAGAAGTCAGGAACTACTTTATAAGGCCACAAACCAAACCAATCAGTACCAAGACTTCAAGCAGCAACTCTCAGGGGGAAAAATGTTTTTTAATAATTCCAGAAGTCCTATGAAATCAATAAAAAGAATAAAACACTCAAATATACTTTTCAAATAATTCCCTAAATTTACTACTGAGTTTTTTTTAAAATGCCATCTTTCATTATTAGAAGTATTGCAAAGTTTACTTAGATTATCCCCAGAACTCAACATTTAAATTTATCACATAGGAAGGAAGGAAAGAAGGGAAGGAGAGAGGGAATCAAAGGGAAGAGAAGGAAAGAAGGGAAGAAAAGGGGAAAAAGGAAGAGAGAGAGGGGGAGAAAGAGAGAAGACAGGACAAGACATGAAAAGGGAAAATTCTAAGTCTGCTAATTAAATCTCATGATCAGCTCTTACCTGCGATCCTCTGATTTGGGGATGGGGTTGGTGCAGCGTTGGCTGTTATACTTGGCCACATATTCACATTGCTTGAAGGGGGCAGTCTTGTCCTCCAGAACGTGTCTGATACAGAAAGCGTAGCCGTTGAGTCGCCGCTGCTTGCACAGTTTGGGGCTATATGAGCACAAGGGCTTATTGTCAACCTCAGAGAAGTGTATATGTTTCCCTTCATACATCACGTGACTCTATTCCTTGTGAACATCAGCTAAAAGGCCACCACAAAAAAAGAAACCCAAATGATAAATCAGAGAGTATAAGGCAGAGTTAAGTTGATAATTTCACTGAGGGGCTTCTGGCCCCACAGCCATACCTGATTTTAAATCTTCTGCACCATAGCAATGTTAAGAGAACCCCAAGGATACCACAGTTTGGAATGCTGCAGAATCAAGATGAAGCAGATTGTCTACAAAAATATCAAAAGTCCTAGTTAACAAACAGAAATAAGCAAAGCTAGCTCACCCAGGATGTAAAATGCTACAATATCACCCTTCTTAATGTGATAGATTCTTCATTATAGTCCAACATCCCAATAATAAGAATATAAGAGGCATTAAAAAATAGTAAGTTACCTTACTCCCACTCCCAACAAACTGAATAACATTTAATCTGGTTAAGTTTTACAAATATCTCAAAGCAGCAGAGCTTTTCCACCCAAATGAATGTCACGGGTGGCAGGTCTCTCTTTTTCTTTTTCCATTACTGTTGTTTGTATTTTCAGAACCTAAATCCCTTTACAATGTCAATAGAATAAAATGTAGATCTAAAACTTCCCTCAGAAATTCTGCTTTTTTTTTTTTTTTTTTTTTTTTTTGAGACAGAGTCTCGCTTTGTTGCCCAGGCTAGAGTGAGTGCCGTGGCATCAGCCTAGCTCACAGCAACCTCAAACTCCTGGGCTCAAGCAATCCAGCTGCCTCAGCCTCCTGAGTAGCTGGGACTACAGGCATGCATTACCATGCCCGGCTAATTTTTTCTATATATATTTTTAGTTGGCCAATTAATTTCTTTCTATTTATAGTAGAGTCCGGGTCTCGCTCTTGCTCAGGCTGCTTTCAAACTCCTGATCTTGAGCAATCCTCCCGCCTCGGCCTCCCAGAGTGCTAGGATTATAGGCGTGAGCCACCGTGCCCGGCCAATTCTGCTTTTTTTGATATGCTGGCAAAATATTTGGCAATTTGTAACAACTGTTTTCATGGAATACAAAATAGAACAAATTTCTGCTTTAAAAAAAATGTTATTTTCCCTCTAAAATTCCCCATACCTATCTCATCCAAACTCTATAAACTTCTTGGGCCCAAAGACTAGTCACCTGACCACATTTACATCATTCTGTTCAGTGCTGTGCACCACACCATGCTTCCAGTCACACTAACTAGGATAACAATCATGACTTATGAGTCTTTCTCAAAAGTCTTTCTTCAATAAGAAGACGGAAGGAAGAGTGGGACATGGTAGCTAAGGCCTGTAATCCCAGCTACTCTAGAGGCTGAGGCCAGAGGATCGCATGAGGCCAGGAGTTCCAGACCAGCCTGGGCAACACAGCAAGACACTATCTCAAAAAACAAATTAGCCAGGTGTGGTGGTTTGTGCCTGTAGTCCCAGCTACTTGAGGGGCTAAGGCGGGAGCATCACTTGAGCACAGCAGTTTGAGGCTGCTATGAGCTATGATCATGCCACTGCACTCCACCCTGGACAATCAAGCAGGACCCTGTCTCTAAATTAAAAAGAAAAGAAAGAAAACAAGAAAAATGGAAGGAAGAAATTATACAATACCCACTCACTACCTCTCCATACAAAAAAAGGTCCAACAGAGCATTTATATTAACACCAGACAGAAACAATCTATTTTGTGAAGTCAGAATCCTAGTGAGCTGGTCTAGCCCACACTCCTCCACCCTCCCATTAAGATGACTGATGGAACAGTTTAGACACCTGCTACCGAAAAAGTCAAGAAATACCCTTTTCTTCACCAGTGAATAACCAAATACATAAATGCTTAAGGTGTCAGAAGACATGGTTGCTCAAGTCCAAAATCTGCTGTTTACTGTGTTACCCTGAGCAAATCATTTAGCTTTTCAGTTATCTCATCTATAAAACAGGGATAATAACAGCAGCAATATTATCATCAGGTTGTTTTAAGGATCAAATGATACAAAGCATGCAATATACTAAGTGTCACACCTAGTACATGTAAGCACTGGACAAATGGCAGTTATTATTCATAAATGTTAATTCTTTTAATATATTACTACATTACACTTATCAGTAATAAGGTAAAGAATTTGTATTCTCCTCGAGAAACACTTCACTTACTGTAGTAGGAAAAACAAAACACCTGAAATACTAGCTCAGTGAATAAAAATCATATTCATTACTAAGTAAATCTAATCACACATGAATATAAAAAAAAAAAACAAGAGCTTTCCCTTTTTACCTTACAAGGATGCGATGAAAAGTTGGACTAAAAATTGAAATTTAGCTGTCCTAAAGATCTGAATGTTTAGGATAGAAAATATTTCAAAGCAAACCCATCATCTTTCATTTTTATACTCCCTTTGCTCTACTCATCCACCTGGCTGAGTATATCTTTCACAAATTAGCTCAAGTAAATCTATATGAACTTCAGAAAAAAAATACCATGGATACAAGTAAATAAAAGAAGTCATTTATAGAATAGGTTTGATTGCCTTTACAGAAAAAAGAAGCCTACATATCTACATGTCTGAGAATATCTTATAAATCATAGAAGACTGTGGGCAGGGATGAACAGATAAGAAAGGCAATGTTCACTTTTTATCCTGACATATTCTAAGTATGCAAGCGTATCCTCTGTCAATATTGATGATTTCCCCTTTCTTTCCAGTTTTCGTTTTTGTCTTTAAGATACCGAGTCTTGTTTGTTGTCCAGGCTAGAGTGCAGTAATGTGACCACAGCTCACTGCAACCTCAAACTCGTGGGCTCAAACAATCCTGCCTCAGCCTCCTGAGTAGCTGGGACTACACATGCCAGCCACCATGCCCAGCTCTTTCCAGTTTTTATGCATATTTTCCTCCTAAAAAATTGAACTAGCTGGAACTGCTAGAACAATGTTAATAATGGCGACACCATTACTCTTAAATTTAAATGAGAATTGCTTTGAGTCAACATTGGGAATAAATAAGACATATTTCCCATTATGTTAAAGAAGTTATCAAGTCAGGCGTAATTCTTATTTTATTGCTTTTCATGTTTTTACTCAGAATTGAAGGTTAATTTTACCAAACTCTTTTTCAGTATTTAGACAGTGATCATTTTTCTCTTTTGCACTTTTTAAAAACTACAGTGTTTAGCATTTCCAGATACTGAACTCTTCTTACATTCCCAGATATAAGAAGAAAAGCAACTTGGTCATTGTGTATTACCCGTTTAACATGATGCTGACTAACTAATAGCTGGGAGTTTTGTAATTTCAGAATGGTCTAGAGTTTTCTTTTTGTGTGCTTTGTCAGATCTGGTATCCATATTTATGTTTCAAAAATAATTTAGAAAATGTTTCTCTTTTTCCATGTTGCTGAACAACTTAAAAAGTATTTGTTATCTTGTTCCTTAGAAAGTTGCCTGGTTCTAATAGTGTTGTTTTGTGCAACAGCTCAGGTTTTCAAATTTATCTGCATACAATTAAGCAGAGTGATCTCTTACATTTAACTTTCTAAATATCTGTGATTCTTTTTTAATGCTGTGTAGGTTGATATATGTGATATTTATACTTTCTCTTTGTTCGTGATTAGATTTAATAAGTTTGTCTGTTTAATATTTTTTTTATTGCTGAGTTAGAGATGAAGTGTTTAATATTTTTAACACCATCTATAAAACAAGAAAAACTCTTTGATTTATTACTACCTCCATTTATCTGTATTCTAATTCATCAAATTCTGCTTTTATCTTCACTAACAATACTTTCTTTCTCCTTTCTTTACATTTATTTTTTCCTACCTCTTTGGGTTGAATTCTTTTATTTTCATTCTTTCTTTGTACAGTAGTTTATTTACATCTATGAATTTTCCTCTGAGTACTACCTTAGGCATATCCCATAGGTACTAATACATAGAATTTTGATTATTAGTGCTTTCTAGTTCATTTGGATTTGACTTTTTAATATCTTCTTTGACCCAAGATTTACTTAATTTTTTCAGATGGTACTGTTTTATATTTTTTAGTTCTAGTTAAGAAGAAATAATATAATCTGCATATATCTCTGCCTTTTGGATTTGGCTGATATTTCCCCTTAGGGCCTAATAGGTATTCTTGGGAGCATTCTAGGAACATTCAGTGTTTCCAGGGTATATTGTTTGTTATACCATATATAATGTTACTTAAATCCCTATGACCTTACTTATTACTTACTTTGTCTGTCAGCTTTGTCAAAGGCTGGAGGAACTGTATCAAAATCCCCTATAATGGGCCGGGCGTGGTGGCTCACGCCTATAATCCTAGCACTTTGGGAGGAGGAGGCGGGCGGATTGCTCGAGGTCAGGTGTTCAAAATCAGCCTGGGCAAGACCCGTCTCTGCTAAAATAGAAAGAAATTAATTAACCAACTAAAAATATATACAAAAAAATTAGCCAGGCATGGTGGCGCATGCCTGTAGTCCCAGCTACTCGGGAGGCTGAGCAGTAGAATCGCTTGAGCCCAGGAGATTGGGTTGATGTGAGCTAGGCTGACACCATGGCACTCACTCTAGGCTGGGCAACAAAGTGAGACTCTGTCTCAAAAAAGAAAAAACAGCCGGCGCGGTGGCTCACGCCTGGTATCCTTAGCCTTCTGGGGGGCCGAGGCGGGCGGATTGCTCGAGGTCAGGTGTTCAAAATCAGCCTGGGCAAGACCCGTCTCTGCTAAAAATAGAAAGAAATTAATTAACCAACTAAAAATATATATACAAAAAAATTAGCCAGGCATGGTGGCGCATGCCTGTAGTCCCAGCTACTCGGGAGGCTGAGGCAGTAGAATCGCTTGAGCCCAGGAGATTGAGGTTGATGTGAGCTAGGCTGACACCATGGCACTCACTCTAGCCTGGGCGACAAAGTGAGACTCTGTCTCAAAAAAAGAAAAACAAAAACAAATCCCCTATAATAATCTAATTTCTGTCTGTTTCTGCATATAACCTTTGTTGGTATACATTTTAGCACAATATTATTTAGTATATGAGATGCATGATCATTAGACTGTCAATCTTTAAGAATTCAACTCAGCCAGGCACACTGGCTCATGCTTGTAATCCCAGCCCTTTGGGAGGCCAAGGCAGGAGGATCACTTGGGCCCAGGAGTTCAAGACCAGCCTGGGCAACATAGCAAGACCCCATCTCTACAAAAAATAAAATATTTAGCCCACTGTGGTGGTGTAGGCCTGTAGTCCTAGGTACTTGGGA